GATCGCAGAAAGTCTTGAAGGAAGCAGCTGGTCTAAAGTGGATGAAAGACCAGGGACTGTTGGGGTGGCTATTCCAACAGTGGGGACTTGGGCCGTACCCATGGCACCTGAGCGGGGGGGTGCTCACCAGACTTCCCATCACGGCTTCCCTGTAATCGTAGGTTCAAAATTTGTTTAAAAAGGCTTTGCTTCCTTGCCTGGTTGACGTTTTAGGGAGTACGTGGTTTCCAGGTGGCTGTCCATGGGAACACACAGAGAAACTTCGCTTTAGTAAATCCATAACCAGTGAACCAGCTCACATGGAACAGTGTTAACATTCGCTCTGTCCCAGGCCCTGGTGGGAGAAGAGAAGGTAAGGGTGTGGCATCAGGGCTGTGTCGCTAGGCTAGAGACCCGTTCACTGCTGAAACCTAACCTCACCCTTCCCAGGCCTTCCTTGCTCTTCAGCACATTCCCGCTGAAGCTGGAAACCCGAGAACTTCATTTTCCTCAGATTACTAACAAGTTTCTCGAAGTCTGAAGCATCATGTTTCAGCACATCTAAGACACCACTGACATTTTAAAAATTTTTACACACCCTTCTCTTTTAATCTTAAAAAACAAATGTATTATCTCAGTTCCCATGAGTCTGTAGTCTGGAAGATACCACAGATTTTAAGATGAACCATTGTTTTATGTTTCATTAAGGAAAAAAATTTTCTTTGAGTTAAACTAAAAAAAAAAAAAAAAGCTTTATTTTCACTTAAGATTTCAATTTTATTCTCCTGAACATTCTTTTAGCTTTATTCAGACACATAACACTCCTGTGCATACTTTTTAAAGAAAAATGAGTGGAAACATCTCCACGTGCCCTAACTTACCTGCATTGCTTGTCAACTAGGAATAAGCCATGTCTGCTTTGTTTATTGAATAAATCGCAAAATGCCCATGATGCAGCCTTTCTTTTTTTAAAAAAGTATGTTTTTATTGATTTTTAGAGGGAGAGGAAGGAAGAGGGATAGAGAAATAGAAACATTGATGGGAGAGAAACATCATCGATTGGCTATGTGAAGGAGGAGTTTAGAGTCACAAAGACCTGTGTTTAAATCTCACCTCTGACTGAGCAACTCACTAACCCCGGAGGACCTCAGTTTCCTAAATAAATAAATAACCACTCCGGCTGCTGGTGGTAAGGTTCTTTTTTTAAAAATTTTGTATGAGATGACGTGGAAATCTCCCTCGCTGGCTGGTGTGTTAGACCTCAGTAAATATTCGTCATATTTTGTCTTCCATGTTTTAAAAATAGCTTTCCTCAGGTTCTGAGGAGGAACATTAAATTCAATAATCAATAAGAATTCTTTTGATTACTTAAAGTTTTGAGTAATGAATACATTAAAAACGTTCCCATTTCCCAACTTTCATGTTGTGAGAAATTAATATCTTTTCTCCCCCAAAGCCAGGCTTCATCTCTCCAATAAGTACTGCACTCTTACTGAATGTAGGGGAAATGGGGTAATACCTAGAAAAACCTCTAAGACACAGGTGGGATTCGCAGGTTTGGGGAAACTGCCATTTGGACATGATGAAGCAATTGCTTTCCATCTCAGGTTCCCGTTTTTTTTTTTTACTTTGTGCAGGGCCTTATTTATTGTCGCTTCTAGTAGCTTCCCAAGTCTGACCTTTTAGCCCCGACTCTGTTTGCACTTTGGAAATCAATGATTTGAAGAATGTTCAAAATCCTAATCAAATCATGTTTTCAGATGTGACCATGGGCAGGCTGGCTTCTGTAAGCTTCAGGTACCTCACCTGCAAGTGGTCAGGGGGATCCCTCCTCTTGGACGTGTTGCATGAGTGTGAATCGCCTGCCCTCCGTGGTGGCTGTGGTAGTTAATACTCTGCCAGAGTCACGACTGCCGGTTGATCTCAGTGTCTACCATTCTGTTCTTCACATCCTTTATTTTCCATTATTTCCCTCAGTTGAAACCTCACCTTTAAATGATGTTGATAATTTGCTGCCACCTGCAGGCTGATACAGAACAAGCAGAACATGTAATGATGTGCTAACTTTTTTCTATTCTGAATATAAAATCTCAAGGTCATCTTGGAGGATCTGAAGCCAGCTGTGGGCAACCCCATGACCCCATTTCCTGAGACCTTGTTTTTCCCTGGTACTCTAACTAAATACTTGAGTAGTATTAGAATCCCCTTAGATTCTTTCTAGAATTGGGCAGCTGTGCATAAAGTTTTACTTAGTAATCAGATACTGCAGTTTCCTTAAGTAGATTTGCAAAATGCTGTTTATTAGAAAATATGAAAGAGTCTTTGTTGTTTAAGGCATGGTTTAGTTCTGAGTTTTGGGTTTTTTGAGGGGTGTCTTGTTCTAGTTGGAAAACTCGAAAGGTCTGAGCAAAACATTGAAAATAAATAATGTTTTTAAGGAACTCATATGGTTCTTCCTATGATTGCTGTCTGTATGCTTGTCTCCCATTTTCAACCTCACTCCTTTGCAATGTAACCTGGTGTTGGGTATACACTTGCAAGCACGTATGGACCCCCTTGATGGTTTCTCACAGTACCTCGCATAGTGCCTTGCTCACAGTTTGGATCTTCTAGAGCTGGAGTCTAAGGTCCCACTGTCAGATAGCAGGGGATGGGCCCAGTAAGGCCTGGGTGCTGAACTACAGGGTTGGACTTTGTCTCGAAAACCATAGGGGATGACTAAAGGATTTTAAGCCAGGGAATGACGTGATGAGATTTCTATCCTAGAAATATTATTCAGGCGGCCTGTCCTAAGCTATTTCAGAGGGAACTTATAGACACAATTATTCTTTGAGCCTTGCCACCCCTGATTGTACCTGTCTGGTGGTGTCTCTGCGGGAGAGGGCTCAGTCCCGGTCTGTTCCCCACTCCAGTTTGCGGTTTCAGATTGTTTTGTTTGTATTACTTCGATGCCTTTAACAATTCTGTAAACACCGTTCAGGTAGGCACTGTTTTGATACAGTTACGCTAGCGATTAGTTATTATAATTACTACCTACCATTATGCAGTTAATATACAATAGACTGTTTCGCAAGTGTCTTTGTACCTCTTACAGGATGTAGGTACTCACTGTGTTGGCCACTGCTCTTAGGCTGGCCACGGTGCTGGGTCCTGTTGAATGGTGCGGTGTTCTTCCTTCTTCCTGCCTGCCTGGCTGCGAGGCCATCTACTGCTGGCACCCAGCTCTGGGCGGGTGCACATAGCTGCCATGGCAGCGCCAGCATTTCTCAGAAGTGGATGTGGGGGTTGGGTAGGATGGGGAACATCCGTAGTGTCTTTAATGCTCAATGTCATGAAGAGGGGGAGACCTTCCTCTGGCCCTCCACGTAAAAGCATCTGCTGCTGTGGGAGACCATGAGAACACAAACAGGTGACATGGGAACGGACAGGTACACTGTGATGCGGTGTAGAATTTAAGGGGGCACGCAGAAGCTCAGTGATCAAGATAAGTAACATGTTAATAAGATATTTCAAAAAATTAAAAGCAATGTAAAGAAACCCATAATGAACAAAATACTAAAATTTTAAATAAACATAAGCGCAGGCCCAGCCAGTGTGACTCAATGGTTGAGCGTCGGCCCATGCGGCAAGAGGTCGCAGGTTTGATTCCCAGTCAGGCCGCGTGCCGGGGTTGCGGGCTCGATCCCCAGCACGGTGAGTGTGGGAGGCAGCCGATCAATGTTGATGTTTCTCTCTCATCGATGTTTCTACCTCTCTCTCCCCCCCTTCCTCTCTCTCTAAAATCAATAAAAACATATTAAAGCAAAGACGAGCAGGAGCAATGCTGTGCAAAGCTATTTTGGAGCCTGTGGCTAAAGAAAAAGTCAAATTTAAAATTCGGGTATTTTATTCATCTTGGATTCTGTGAATTAATTCTGACTTTTACAAATGATTGTATTAAAATATTTAAGCTGTTCATATTGAGTTTTTTGGTGCCCCCTTAAATTTTGCACCCAGGGTGTGGGGGGCCTCACAGGCCTCACCCTACCACTGAGCACGGCTGGCTGGGTGGGCAGAGGGGAGGACAGGTGCTGGGAGGCAGCTGCCTCCTGGGTGTTCTCCAGAAATACTGGAAATACTGACTTCTTCCGATGGACGGGCAGACGCAGGCTCTGCTCCAGGGCGGTGGGCACCACTGGGGTTGGTCTTAAATAATGTGGAGAATTGACATGGGTGTTGGTCTTTTCTCTGAATATACACATTAGGAATTTTTAAAGGGTATCTGGATAATATATATATACATATATGGTGGGGCAAAAGTAGGTTTACGGTTGTGAGTATGCAAAACAGAGTTTATTCTTGTATTATTATTTATTATTGTATTATTTTCCATACAGACAACTGTAAACCTACTTTTGCCCCACAGGGTGTCCCAAAAAATGTATACACACTTTGAATAATTAGAAAAGCTGTGTTTAATAAATACACTTCATTTTCAAAATGTGATAGAATTAGCTGTTAAAGTGTGTATACATTTTTTGGGATACCTTGTATATCTATAAAGCTGCAAGAAGGTGTTTCCTACATCTCCTACCTAATGGAAAGAAATAGAATAAAGCTTCTTCAGGCACCGAGTCTGCTCAGCATTTCTCCCTCCCGAGGCGGTTCAGCGTGGGTCTGACAGCCAGAGGAAGCTCAAGCCACCCAGAGCTCCCCTCTTGCTGCATCACTGGTTTAGCATTTCAGGCCCTGCCAAGATCCCCTTCCTGGACTCGTCCCTCTTCTGCTTTGCAGTGACTAGATCCTGACCGAGGTCATGAACAGAAGCTGAGCGAATGCTGTATTTTCTCAATTCGTATTTTGGCAAAGTCTAAGCGGGTGGCTTTTAGTGCTTAGCGCCGAGTCTTCTGTGGTCTCCTCTCGGGGAGCTCGGTGGCTCAGGGTTCCAGCCTCGTTGGCTTGACTCTGGCTGGGCCAGTGGGGAGCGTAAAGGAAGGTTGTGCTCAGCTTTCGTGTCTTACAGGTTTTTTTTTTGTAACCCCAACAAGGTCTGCTGAGAACAGACTCAGCGCCCGAGGCCGGAGAAGATGTTGCTGCTACCATCGGTGCCACGGAGACCCTGTCTGAGGATGAACAAGAAGAGCTCAGGAGAGAGCTTGCAAAGGTGAAGAACGTCCCGCTTCGTACTGAAAATAGAGCATCTTTGTTTCCCTAAAGCGCGTGGTGATGTCTTGTAGTCAGCGCCGGGGAGAGAGAGCAACACGTGTGCACTTGCCCTGGAGCGGGGAGAGCAGTGGGAGGGAGAGGTATCACTTCGTTTTGACATGAGAGAAGGCGTGTACGGGTGACGGGGGCCTGGGAGGCAGGGTGAGAGGGAGGAAAGGGATGAGAGAGGCCATGGTGAACGTCTTTCAAGGGCTCCTCCTACAGTAATACGCTTGGCTTTTTACGTCAGTGACTTTGTTCTACCCTTGGCTGTGGTTTGGATATAGGCACCTTCGAACCTTCTCTCTTTCTTTCTCTCACAATTAACCACTCTAAAGTGTACAGCTCCGTGGCGTTTAGCACATTCATAATGTGCAGCTGTCACCTCTGTCTCGTTCCAAAACAATTCCAGCAACCCCAGAGGAGACCCGAATTCACAAAGCGGGAGTCCCCCAGTCTTCCTGCTAATCTCTTTCTATCGATTGACCTGTTCTGGGTATTTTATATAATTAGAATTTTACAACAGTTCACCTTTTATCTGGCTTCACTCAGCATATTTGTGAGGTTCAGCTTCATGTCGCACGTGTTGGTACTTCACTGCTTTTGACTACTGAATAATATTCCATCTTCTGTGTCTGCCACATTTTGTTTGTCCATTCATCCATTGATGGACATTTGGGTGGTTTCCACCTTCTGACTCTCATAGAGGCAGAGGAACATTTGTGTAAAAGGACTTGTTTGCATACCTATTTTCAGTTCCTTCAGCTATAGACTTAGAAGTGGAGATGCTGTGTCATACGGTGATTCCATAGGACTTTTGGGGGCACCCTCAAAACTGTCTTCCACAGCAGGGACACCATTTCACATCTGCATCAGCAGTTTCTGTATATCCTTGCTGCCAACATTAGTTATTTTCTGTCTTTTATTATAACCATCCTAGTGAGTATTAAGTGATACTATATCTCATTGTGGTTTTGATATGGTTCCTCTAGCGACTAATGATATTGAGCATCTTTTCATGTGCTTATTAGCCATTTGTGTATCTTTTTTAGAGAAATGTCTATTCAAATCCTTTGTCTAGTTTTTCAAAAATTGGTGTTTTTCTTGGCCTTTTTTGTTGTTAAGAGCTCTATGAGATTTGTGAGTGTATGATTTTCAGATGTTTTCTCCCATTTCATGTGTTGCCTTTTCACTCTCTTCATAGTGTTTTATTGCACAAAAGTTTCACATTTTGATGAAATCCAATTTATTTTTACTTTAATTGCTTGTGCTTTTGGTGTTATAGCTAAGAACCCAATTCCAAAACTCAGATCATAAAGATTTTTATCCGTGTTTTCTTCTAAGATTCTTAGCTCTTATATTTAAGCTTTTGATCCATTTTGAGTTAATTTCTGTATATGGTTTGTTGGCATACAATTGCTCATAGTACTGTTCTCTTATGACCCTTTTTATTTCTGTAAGATCGGTGGTAATGTTGCCACTTTCATTTCTGATTTTAGTTATTTATGTCTTCACTTTTATTTTTTCCATCACTCCAGCCTGTCAATTTTGTTGATCTTTTTAAAGAACCAGTTTTTGGTTTCCTTGATCTTCTCTGTTGTTTTTCTGTTCTCTATTTTGTTTATCTTCACTCTAACCTTTATTCCCTTCCTTCTGTTAGCTTTGGGTTTAGTTTGCTTTTCTCTTCCTAATTCCTCAAGGTTTAAAACCATATTATTGATTTGAGAACCTTGCTGTTTCTTAAATGCAGGCCTTTAGAGCGGTCAGTTTCCCTCTGAGCACCACTTTCACTGCACCCATAAGTCTTAATGTGTTCTGATTAATTGTTAAAAACATATAAATGATCAAAACTGACCCTCCGAAAAAACAGAAAACCTGAACAGACCCACGACATGTAAAGAGATTATGTCAGTAATCAAAAACGTCCAAAAAAAAAAGTATAAGACCAGATGGTTTTACTGATGGATTTTATCAAGCATTTGAAAGAATTAATGGCAATTAGTTCTTCCACAAAATAGCAGAGGGTAACATCTTCCTAACTCATTCTAAAGGCCTGTATTAGCCTGATACAGAAATTGGACACATCATAATCTCACTGTGTCCCTCCTGTACTCAGGGCTTCTGTATCCAAGTCTTTTCCAGCTTTCCTCCCAATGTTCTTTCACCTCTCAAGCTAGACTCTTGAATGAGAGAGCTCCGATGAGTCAAGCATCTCTTTTCACACCAGGCGCATGGCTGTTTGTTGGCCACTCGGTGGGACGGCTGTCCACTCTCACCACCTAGCCGAGGCTCGTCAGTCAGCATCAGAGGTCCACAGGGGACTTCCACAGGGACCTCCCGGGGAGACAGCTTGATTTATTTATGAATGTGGCTTTGACAGGCACTGGGACTGACAGTTCTTGCATAAACTCATGAACTATGCAAAGAGGTTGGGTTTTGTGCATGTTTTGGGGGACGATGGAGATTAGTTTGACTTAGGGTGCAAATACAAGTTCTTATGGGCATTTGAGTATAAATATCCAGCAAGACATGTGGACCAGAGGTCAGGAGAGGATGCTGAATAATGTGAATATTATCTGTGTAGAGATTCGAGTCCTAAGCCTCCATGAGACAGCTGATTAAGGAAGTATAGGGACAGGGGAGAGGACAGCTCCCCATGCAACAACTCCACATGGAAGTGTGTAGAAGAGAAAAGAGGAGCCCTGCAGGAGAGACAGCATGTAACCAGTTTACTTAGCAACATAGCCTGTGTTATTTTTAAGGCGACAAGATAAATGAATCAAAAAATGTTTCAAAATGCCTTGAGAATTTTCAGTATTGTTTTGCACTAATAACCTTAATTTATCGAATGACCTTGCTGTGTTCTCCCCCCAACTCCGTCCTCACAGGTAGAAGAAGAGATTCAGACCCTCTCTCAGGTGTTAGCAGCAAAAGAGAAGCACCTGGCAGAGATCAAGCGGAAACTCGGGATCAATTCCCTCCAGGAGCTCAGGCAGAACATCGCCAAAGGGTGGCAAGACGTGACCGCGACGCCTGCGTAGGTCCCCTGACCACACGCTGGTCCAGAGGATGCGAAGGACGCGCTTGCTCCTCTTGTGTGGGGAGGGGAATAGAGAGGCAGTGAGGCCGATTCTGCAGCTTTTCTTTGTACGAAACAGGGCACTTTCCCCTAGCTCTCAAGCGTACCTGACTCTCCTGTAACATTGTCCTCCCAGACTGTTGTAGGGACTAGAAAGAAAACCAGCCTTGTACGCGAGTTGAGGAAATGAAGTCTTAAGTTTCAAAACTGCTCTGTATTGACGTGCCCGACACGCACATGCCATTTGGTTCTCGGGGGAATGGGATAGAGCGGGTGGTGAGATGGCCCTAAACTAGGAAACAGGACCAGGAAAGTTTCCAGCGCACATCACGCACCCATCAAAAGCGGAGGCGGGATCTGACTGGTCTCTTTTGCCCTGCTCTCTACTTAGCACGAGACTTTCGGGTCGCCATCTCTGACGCGCGCTGGTGGCAGAGGCTCACCCCTTAATCTTTTAGCCTTTTTGAGCACGTGATGCATTTTGTTTCCCTGGCACTAGGAGGAGCACGAGTCTAGTAACAGCTTCCCAGCTGCGCTCTCTGTCACCTGAATTCAGTCCTGTGGGCTGAGCTGGTGACCGGCAGCTGTGAGGCCACTGGTCTGACATCACCACACTAGGGTGCCCACCCCCGTGGTCCATTTTCTACCCACATAAGGAGGCAGTGGGAAGACAGCAGGAAACTATTAAACTGCCTTTGTTTTTCATATTGATCTTGAAAGGGTCATTCTTTTCTATAATGTGGGCTCTGGTCCCGTTTGTTGTGGGTACCGTGTCCTTTGTTTTGTTTTTGTTTCCCCTTTGCTAATCTCTGGGGACACGAGAAGAGGGAGGTGGTGAGTCATAACTTTGTGTCCCAGCAAATATCACACCCAAGTGTCAAGTATTTTAACTATTGTGCCTTGAGGTTCTCTGTTGAGAGTAGATGTGCAACAGTGAAAAAATTCTTTATGCTCATTTAGTTAATTTGGATAATAAAGTACATGTGGGCCTGACCTTGCTTTTGGCCCCTTTTTAGGAGATAAACTTGTAGAAGGTGGGTGAGGAATTTGATTTCATTTTTGTTTTGTTTGGCTTACCTGGCAAAGGGCAGGGTAGGAGGTTTCTTTCCGCCTCTGGCTCGTTGTCAGTGTTGCTCCGGGACCGTTTTTCTCCCTCACTCTGCCTCCCAGGCCTCTGTCCTTCCGCTGTCCTGGGGCAACGCAGAAGGCTGTGCCCGAGTGGTGGTTAAGGATTTAGATGCTGTGAGGATGCCAACCTGGTGGTTGGGAAGGATTTTAGATGTTCTTAACAAAAAAGTTTAGCTTACTTTTCTTTGCTCTGTTTCTTTTATAATTTGATACAGCTACAAAAAGACATCTGAAACCTTGTCTCAAGCCGGACAGAAGGCGTCGGCTGCTTTCGCATCGGTGGGATCAGTCATCACCAAGAAGCTGGAAGACGTAAAGTATGTCCTGCTCTTTCTTGCTCGTTCTGTGGCTGAGGCAGATGACAGTGCGCTGTGGTGCCTCGGTGTCCCGGCTCTGGTTCCGGGTGACGCTGGATCCCGGTCCAGGGCGGCGGGCACACCTTCAAGCCAGGGCCTGAAACGCTGCCTCAGGTCCTTCAGGCTGAGCAATCTAACCTGCAGGCACAGCGTTCAAAGCGATCACCTTATGAATATGTTTAAGGTTCCTGAACAGTTCTGGTTGTGAACTTTTGTCCTTTGAGTCTTTCCTGACTGTATGGAGTAAACATGCCCCTCGTGGTTGCAAATTGTGGTTGTGGGCTGAGCCTGGTGTCTCCCTGGGGGTGAGTCCAGGAGCACCGAAGTGCACGCGTGGCCTGAGACATGCCTTGCCTCCTCCACGTTGCGTTTTTACACCACTGTGTCACTCTACCACGCTCACCGTGCACTGATTTGCAGTTATTTGTAAGCCACGTCTGCGTGTCTGCTTACGCCTGCATCTTGATTTTGTGCCATTGCGTTTTATTTTGCATATCTCTTCTAGTTGAGTCTGCAGAATTTCCCTGGCCATTTTGGTAAGCCCACTTCCCAGTGCTTTTGTGTGCCCCCACTTCATGGACTAGCATAGCACTGGGAAGGACAGACGTGGCTTCAATTGGCTGTGCTTCTGTTGGCATGAAAAGTTTGCGATTTAAAAACAAAACCCTTGGATTGCATGACTTTGTGCTTTTCCTCTGTGGGGACAGGAGATTTTACAACCAGAATTCTGTTGGTGGAACAAGTTTGTCCATCCATGTATTAGACTTTGTACCTCAAACACCAAAGAACTTGCTCTTCATATTTGTTCTGCCCTCGGTCTAAGCATCACGTAATAAATGCAGCGTCCTGGAACCCTGTTGACGATGACTTACACACCTCTCGTGCTCTCATTTCATTCTCTGCCGACTCAACTGTGTAGCATTTCACAATCCAGTTCAAACCTTACGCAACTGTTAAAAAGTGGGTGATTTAATTGTTTTAGATTTACCGGAGCTTCCTTTCTTTTTTAATGCTGACTGTGGCTTCTTGCAGATTGCAAGCCTTTTCACACTCCTGTAGGTAAGGAGAGTCTGCGCCATCGCTGCGGCTCCGTGGTCGTTTGACACATGTGTTTCCTTAGGTTGTGATGCCGCACTGGATGGTCATGTGTTTGTCCACTACCTAGTATTCTTGCATTTGGAATATTTTTCTGTCTGGTGCTCTCCCTGTTTTCTAAGGGCGGGTTTCTTGTATACCATGCGTAATGGAGACATTAAAAGAAGGATTTGACACTGTGATTCGAGGGCAGTGGAAATGATTTTGACATTTCTTTTTTACCTTTTTTTTAAAAAAAAGCATCTCTGCCATGGCATGCAGAATCCCTCCCTTCAAACGTCTCACGTTGTTTGTTTTTCACACTTTCCTGTCTTTGGTGCCCTTGTAAGGATGAGCCCTTCGCCTGGCTCCCATTGTGCATTCGTAATGGACTGGCTCACACGGGCAGTCTCCCTTCTCATCCAGCTTACTATGAGTGTTTTTTATGTCTATGGTAAAATATATATAAGAAAAAGTATGGTATATGGTAAATATATGTATATGGTAAATATACACAAGATAAAATATGCTATGACTCTGCAGTTTTTAGTACTTTTTTTACTGGCTTACGGTTTTTTCGTATTTATTGTTTCTTTACTGTCGTTATATTGTTTACCTGTGCACACAAGGAAATTTCATGGTTGTAAAGGGAAAATAAAAGTCTATTGGGCAAAAAAGGAAAGCCCACCAAAAAGATGTCAGGCCAACCCATGCCTTATAGAAGGAGCCTCTGTGATGCTGAGCAGACCGTCCCGTCTCCCATACAGACGGGCTGTGTAGCCAGTGGGAGAGAACAAGGTGGGGCAGGGTGTTCAGGGTGCGGGCCGAAAGATAGTAAGCAGTCGCCATCTGTCCTGTTCACGCGAACTGTCTTCTCAGTCGCTCGCTGTCTAGCTATTTGTCTTCTTAAGCAAATGGGTACTTATGGCGGAGGCCCTTCTGTCCCAGGGAGACTTAGCCCAGGAGGTCAGAGTGAATTATAGGGATAAATCAACTCTAAATATCGAACCACTTAAAGCTAAAATTGTGCTTTGAAAAAGGCAAGAAATCCATGATAGGAGGGGATTCTGTACCTTAGGTTTAATTAGAAATGGTCCAAGTGTTCCAGGCAGCTGTTCAGACAGTTTTATCTAAAGTCACGTGAGTTGTGTGAATGTGCATTCGGTCCCATCATCCATCCTGGGAACCTCAGAGTGGCTTCTGGGGGCAGGTCCAAAGCAGAACCATCCCTCCGAAGGTTCTCGTTCTGAAAGACCTTAACACTGGGGAGTGGGTGGAGCGGGGAAGGAAGGGGGCCTGGTGAGGAGCTGGGAATGGGAGCGCCCTGTTGCTCCTGGTTACATAAGATGTGATAGGAACACAGATATCAAAATGTGTGAGTGCTGTTGAGAATGACGTCTCATCAGTGTGAACACTGTTCTTTCGCTTGACCTTTAAAAAAATCGAGCAAATGTACACTGAGAGAGCCCCGCATGTCATCCTGTTGATTCGCCAGAAAGTCGTGGAGTGTTGCCGCTCCTCTCCAGCTCCCTTCTTTCATCTTTAAAAATACGTAATTGCCATTATATTCTCCACCATTTTCAGTCCTGTTTTCAATGAATAATCTATTGCATATCAATACATGGAAGTTAAAGTAAGGCTTTTGATTGAAACATGGAAAAAGAGAAAAAGACTATCTTTTGAAAGCCAAATTTTATAATTAATTCTTAAAGATGAAACTTGGAGAAAGTCATTAAAAAAATAATTTCTAGGCCAAGAAGTCCTGATTGTAATCTGATTTAATGTGTTCATATATAACAGAAGACATGTGAAAACATTTATAATAGGAAATATATATAAAGAAAACCACATCTTTTAAATCAGTGAGTCACAGAGGCAAATATAGGCCACATGCCCCAGAGGACAGTGCAGGGAGAGGGAGCTGGGATAGGTTTGAGTGTTTCACTCACAGCAGTGTTTTCTGGGTTTTCTGGACGCAGGAGGCTCTCGGAGTGGTTGGGTAATCCTGTTAACTCCTTTTGTTCTGGGTCCATGCTTACCCATTGGAGTGTGGCAATGAGCTCACTCTCTGAAGGAATTGTGGCTCTTCCGCTGAATGGAATTGTTAGGCTCAGCAAGTTTTTATTTTATGTTGTCAATCAATAAATTAGCACTTGGGATTTAGATATCTGGGTTAAGCCTTGGGTGGGTGTGTAGGGAGGAGGAGAGATCTGTTTTTGATGCTGTGAGAATTAGGTGCAGCAAGGTTGGGGGCCAGATGTGGGATGTGGTAATGAGCACTATCCTGGGAGGCCCTCTGGGGACAGCCAGCTTCCCCTGTATGTGGAGTGTTCATATCCACCCCTCTCCTGTTTGCTCAGTTTCCCCATGTATGTGGTCAGCGCTGACTCATGCTTGAATGTTTTGGGAGAAACTTGAGCCTTGTCATTGCCCTTGTTTCTGGTGTTGAACATCGATTTTGGTGTTATTGATAGCATACTATCCTAACTCAGTAGCCTCATTGATATATTTAAGAGGAAGTGCTAATTAACTTTGTCTTTATTTCCAAAGGGAATTTCTCTATCTTTTTTTTTTCTTCCATGTGTTTCTTTATATAAACCTGTAGATATTTTTTACTTGTTTCAGGCTCCTCTGCATTCTTGCACCTGGTCCCCCAAAGTGTCTTTCCCGACCTCTAAGCTCAGGTATCTCCCTCCGCTAACTGACAGAGCGAGGTGTCCTAATCACAGCATCTCTGGACAAGAATCCCAATCGTCTGAACTCTTTTTTTTTTTCCATTCAGTCCGAACAGTTTATAGATCACCAGGAGGTTGGCGGTGGTCCAGGTGTCACATGATGATGGTGAAGTGCTTGTGGCGACGTGGCTGTAGACAGCTTCTTTAGGGTCCTAGGAAGAGCAGTACCATCTGGAGTTCTTGTGCTGTAAACTAAGATGATTTTTATTAATCTCCAGCCTTGAGATGTGGGCCCAGCATCAAGCGGGAAAAGACTTAGCAGATTCCTCCCAGAATAGATTCCCACTGTTACAGGATAGAGGGAGTGCTGAGCTGTGTGCATCTTTTCCTGTGTTATGAAGACATGAACTATGAAGATGTCCAAGTGGCTTATTGACTGATAATCTTGACTACACCAGCTGCCAGCATATCTGGATTTGTATTAGCATCAGACTCCGTATTATTACACATTAACGCAAAGCTAGGTTTGGGGAGCTACCCTGGAAATACATTGTCACAGCTGAGTCTTTCAGAAACTTAAATCATAAAACACACACAATATTGAAAAAGAATAGAGAATTAATACCTTGGACTATCCAACTTACCCAAAGGAAATCATTGACCAAAAATACCGTCAGTGATCAGAGCATTCTAAGCATAGTAACAGAATCAGCAGGATACAGTGACTGCGTGAGCCCAGGAATGAAGGAACTTCATCTTATAAGGTGGCCTCTGTGGGAGACAGCTAAGAGTGGATAACCTTGACCCTGAGCGGTCAGTGAACTGCATTGCCCTTGAGTAAGAAGTTGGTCCCAGCCAAACAGGGGCCAGATGTTATTTGAATGACCATTAAGAACAGTTAGTTTAATTGGGATGAAGTAGAAGTGTCCCTTAGTAGAAAACTGATACGATGATTACTAAGGAGGGATATGTAGATCACTTAACATCACCAAATAGGTGATTTATTTTTAACTTTCCTGTTCTGGTGACAAATATATGGGGGAAGGAAGACCGAGGAGCCCTCCCCTGGCCTGGCTTGTGCGTGTGTGTACCTGTATGTGTGTGTGCACTGTTTTTTGAGAGGAGGTGGTGAACATTAAATTGGGAGCCCCAAAGACCCGAGTTCCATTCTTGATTCTGCTGTGACCTTGGGTGAATTATTTAACTTCTGAGCCTGGTGGCTTGATGCCCAGCAGATTCAGGTTGGAACACTTTAGTTTCCAACGTGCTGTAAAAATGCAAGATTGAATTGTTGGCTGTTAACGATAGGGATTAAATTGGCTCAGGAGTGAAAGTAAATTATTTTGAAATATCTCTGATCCCCTCCACCTCAAAAAGGAGATGATTCTTCATGGTGCCAAAGGAACAAGCTTCCAGGAAGCCAAGTTCTGTTTATGTTATCACCAGTGTACTAACTTCATTTCTGTCTCTTTTTAATGCTGCCTTAGTATACGCTCCATTCAACATTCAATTAGCATGCCTGCTATGAGGTAAAGTATATCTTTATAAAATGTCTTTGGTCTTCTGCTTTCTTAGTCTTTCCTGAGATGACTACCTTGAACTTTCTGAAGTGGGAACTAGAGCTCTACTCTAAACAAGCTGCCGTTCTAGACACTGGGTCGGTTTTCAGCTGCTCCTTCTATCATGTTAGGATGAGTGTGAAAGCTCCATTAAAGGCTTGGATTTTAAAAAAAAAAAAAGAATTATTATTTCTGTTTTATTTTGGAAATCTACTGTTTCACATCTGAAATCTGTTTCATTGAAAATGTGACCACGACTCATCGAGGAAACCCCCTCTTCTCACAGATGGAGGTGCCCAGCCCTCCGTCCACAGTAGCCTAGTCACACTCCCCTTTCTCCACCCTCCCCTTTCCAAGTCCCTCATCCCATCCTGAGGCTTGGAGCCACCTGTAACTTAATTCTCCTACCCTCTTTCATCAGGAAGCACTTGCAAGTCGTACACGTTATGACCTTGTCTACCTCTCTAGAGAAGCAGGCAGAGCGTCTCCAGCAATCTGTTTGGCTTAAACATCAGTGGACAGCAGAGCCACCTGGAGGGCTTGTTAAAATCCCCCTGCTTGCTACCCCTCACCTAGAGTTTCTGATTTTGTCAGGCCAGGGGGGGACCTAAGAATCAGCATAGTGAACAGGTTCCCCAGAGCTGTTGATGCCGCTGGTCTGGGGACCTCCCTTTGGGAATGGCTACCGGTCACCACTGTGGGAAGGAGGAAGGCCCTGCCCCTGCCCTCACCTTCTTCATCTTGTTAGCAGGAAGGATATTCAAGGTCGGGTGGGTAGTAAAATGCTTCAGACACCCCGATGGGAGTGACCTAGGCACTGTGATCTCTTTGATGCATGCGGATGGACGTGAAGGTGTGGGAGAGGCTTTCCGTGGGCCCAGAGAGCCTCTGTCCATGGGGCAGCTTTGTGAAGAGGCTGAGCCACATTTCTGGGCTCCTTCCTTCCTTCCTTTTGGTCTCTCCTTCCCCCTCTATTATGGAGGCCCCTGGGAAGCCGATCCCTGTTACAGGACCTCCTCTGGTCAGCCTGTCCTGCTTGGTGATGTGGGTTCATGTAGGAATCGTGCCAGGCAACTAGTGAACTTAAACACGAGTTCTAGAGCATGGGGCCTTAACCAAAGTTCAACTGACCAGCAGTGACAAGTTGGTTGGAGAAATGACAGAACTGATTTGTTACCTGACTTGTTTCCTCATCACACAGGCACTTGACTCTGTCTACATTTATATGTCTAAGACTGGCTCTGTTCATGGGATCAAAAGCATCACTGTAGAAACCTTAAAACAGGAGTAGATAATCTTACACAATATGTATTTTTGTGTATGCCTGTGCAGCTGTAGGATAGATAAAGATATCTGTTCTTTTGCTGAAAGTAATGGCTAAGAGGAATAAAATTAACTATTGATGTTTTCAAAATTGGTGGGTTTTTTTCAGTGTTCATGATTTTACTGTTTGTTTTTCTTTTCTCTCCACAGAAACTCTCCAACTTTCAAGTCATTTGAAGAGAAGGTTGAAAACTTAAAGGCAAGTAGAGAGGTGAACATGGTTTTTATGTTATCTTGTTTGCTTCCTGAACTCTCTTTGGTGTGGGTAGATCACTCAAATTACTATTTCTTTCTAAAATATTTAAAGAACTTTAATAACTTTATTCTTTACATTATTAATGGATATTTAAGATGATCAATTTTGATCTGATTTTTGAGAGTATGTTGTATCATGGTAGCAAGTGCTGAAAAGAAATGTATACTTTCTTAGAGTTAGCCAAGTACATATCTCATAATCTGTTTTCCTTTCTGAACTTTTAAAAAAGTCTAAAGTAGGGGGGACCAAGCCTGCCGGTGGTGACTTCGAAGACGTCTTGAATTCGACTGCGAATGCCAGCGCCACGGCCACGGAGTCTCTCCCAGAACACACGCAGGAGGGCCCGTGAGGTCCTGCCTCTGCCCTGCCACCCACTGCCAGATGCTGCCAGCGAGACCAAGCACATCTTGTCAACGTTCATTGCCGTGAATTCCCACCCCATGTGCTTTTATTTAGCCTAACTTATTCCTTTGACCAAGTAGTCTATGGGTTGAACAAAATAAAAATATCTCCACCTCTGTTCCTGGGAAGCACCTTCGCCGTGCATTTCTGGCCCTTGATTTAGGAAGCGCCACTACAAAAACACGTGGTACCTGGGGACCCTCACTAGGATGATCGGAGAAGTGGCAGGTTGTCATCATGGTTTCCCTCCTTTCCCCCATCGCTCTGGATCTGGGATGCCAGTTTGATTTTTGTCTTCTATATGATTTTCTTTTTCTCCTTTTTTGAACCTCTGTATATTTGATTTCTAAATACATTGTTCCTTTAAATTTTCTGAATCCTGGTTATTAAAAGTCTTGACATAATTTTCTTTACCTCCAAGGGAAGAACTATCAGCTACAAAACTTGTTTTTGAGTAGACACTGTTTTGGTGTAAGGTTGTCTGATATCTTGGGCATCTGAAGACAGCAGACTAAGTACGTCAGCTCTATACCCACTTGTTACAGTTTGTAAGTGACAATATCTACAGTAGTAAATTCAAACTCCTTAGTGACTGGAGAATGGAACCCTCACGTCCTTGTCACCGTTTATGACAGTAATCATTTCAGTGGGCTGGTTCTTATGCCACTTACAGCAACCTATTTTTCAGCAGATTACATTTGAGTTTCAGGGTAAACTGCAGAGTAATATTCTAAATCAAGCACATTGTCTTCTCAGTAGGTGGATATAGGAACACTCTCGTCAGACATTCAATTCAAAAGCTGGAAAGTTTTTTAGATCTAGTTAGAGGTAAAAATGCTAAAATCAGTCACATTAGGGAAAACATTCCAGTCTTCATATAATTCATTTAGCACCATTTAAAAATAAGTAAAATAAAACAAAACTAAAAAGCACACAGAGTTATCTAATATAATTTGAAAAAATTTTATACTGAGAGGTTGATGATAACTCCAGAGGATTTAACGCATTGACAAAAATCACCTCACCATTTGCTACTTCCATGTTTTCAGTGTGTTAAGAATTACTAAATGATTCTGTAGATGTTGCCCCTGCTTCAAACACTGAGTGTCAGGGCCGAGTGCACCAAAGCCTCTAGAAGGATCGGCATGGAGGCCACAGTGCTCTTTTCATTCTAATAGCTACTCGTGCATTAATTACCACTACCTTTTCCTTCTGCTGTGTATGGTTATGGCCTACAATGTTGTATTTGTTATTTATCAAGTTGTGATTGTTTTGTTATTGTCTATGCCAAATGTTCATTGCCAAGCTTGGAGTGACCCAAAGCGTTTTTAAAAAGCATGGCTAGATTTACTTCAGCAGAAATTATCTTATGAAAACCACATTTGAAAATTCATAGGTGTTGACTCTTCTAAAATAACATGCTGCTGGCCTTGATTATTAGAGCTTCTTAGCACTTTAGATGCAATTGAAACTCTGCTCTACTACACGTGAAAATCTTAATAAATTTTGTATACCAATAGTATAGGTCTCAACATTTATTATGAGACCAGTGGTCTGCAAACAGCTTGTATTAAACAATCAACAGGTGTCTATGCTTAAAAAAAGGGGGCATTTTTTTACCATCTGCTTTAAATCACTGCTTAATGGTATCAGACTAACTTCATAAATTATTTCCTTATGGAGGATTTAAGGGGAAAGTCGTTGAAGCATTGTCCCAGAGGAGTGGATCTGTAGAAATCTGTGTTTTTTTAAAAAATAGAAATATTGTGGTTACTTAGCATAACTGTTAAGTTATATTTTTCTACCAACTATGTCACCTTTCAATTTGTTATCACAATATGTTTTCATCATATTGTTTCTTGAGCATCCTGGAGTCACTATCTTTTCAACAAGGTAAAATGAAATAAGATGGCAGTTTTTTTAGTTAAGTGAAATATTCTCAAATCTCTTTAGTTTATGGGGAGAAGTAACAGAAATGGGGGTGGAAAATGGGATGGGTGTATGTGGGTATTGGCAATGGCTGTGAAAGAAGAAATCAGAAAATCATTACACTTAATCTAAAAATGAGTTAATCTACGGTATAGTAAGTTGCCTCTTAAAAGAAGTAGTCAAAAGTAGGGAGGAGGGCGAATTTAGAAAAATAGACATGGATTTAGAAATATTATTCAAAATGGTCTTTGTGGAAGATTCAATGTCATGAACTCAGTTACACTCTATTGTGTTTTGTGTTTGACACTTTAAGAAAACAGCAATTTGAGAGCAAACTCTCAGATATTCAAGGATTCAAGAAGTGTCAGAGAAGAAAATAACCCCTGAAATTGTCCCCTTCTTACAAAGGAATGCCTTTGGTTTATGGAGTTTGTGGGAAAGAAAACAAGAATTCTTATGCTTGTGAGGCCAAAGTAATCAATGGAAGAGAGTACAACTCACTGGATTATCTTAGTAATTCAAATAGAGAAAAAAGCATGTTTAATTTCGAATCACTATTTCTGGATCTGTTAATCAAGAAATGCACACTGTCTATTTTTCTTTTGTATAGTATTTGAAAACAATAAAAAGTCTATAATTTGGGCATGGGTCTTTTTGCATGTATTCCCTATCTGTTGAGGAAAGGCGTGACAACTCTTCAGACCCTCCACATCTTGGCCATGGAAATAATATAAGCAGCTATCAAACAAACCTCATCAATGTATCAAACAAAACTGAGCAAGCTACTGCTGGCTACCCCAAGCATTTGTAGGTGGATGTTGTATATGCACTAGAGGAGGTGCTGCGTAGGCCCTATGTTAGGATCACATATATTTCTTTTTCTTCTTTTTCCCATTGCTTTTCAGAGAAAGGGGAAGTGGAGGAGAGACCAAGAGAGAGAGAGACATCGATTGGTTGCCTCCTGAACGAGCCTCAACCGGGACCCGGGATCAAGCCTGCAAACGAGGTAGGTGCCCTTGGCCGGAATCGAACCCGAGACCCTTCAGTCTGTGGGCCAGTGCTTTAACCACTGAGCCAAACTGGCTAGGGCTCTTTTTTCCTTCTTTTTAAAAACAACTTTATTGAGGTATAATTGACATACAAAATGGCTCAGATTTAAAGTGTACAATTTGATGTTTCAACATATTTATACACTCGAGAAACCATCACAATTATGAACATATCCGTTGTCCCCCTCACCAGTTTCCTTCTACACTTTTGTGACTACTCCCTCCCACCCTTCTCCTTGCACCATCTCCAGGCAGCCCCTGATTTGTTTTTTTGTCACTAGATTAGTTTGTGTTTTCTAGAATTCTTTATAAGTTGGATCATGTTATACACATTTTTTTATAGCTCTTAAAACCCAGATGAAAAATCAGATTTTTGCCCTTAGTGAGGAGACATTTGGCCATTAATTAGTGACTGTCCCGTTGTGATTGGATTAATTAGAGAGACCATGTTGGGTTGCAGTTAATATAAAGCAGTATCACTTTTAATTTGCAAACCTTAGATTTCACAGTTGCCATACTATTCTCATTCTGAGACCCAAATGAACCAAAATAAGCCAAAATAACTCACTCAATTGGTAAACCAACAGAGGGCAGGGCCTGCACATACCTGTCACCTGCCAGGATTTCATATTTAGAGAAATGCTGTACGGCAACTAAAATTCTTGCCACCTCTTATGTGTAATTTTGATGTTACTTAGGTTGGCTGGTAGTGATTATTTTAATGGGACGGTTTTCCTAGAACACAGCAAAAAAACACAATTTTGTTGTTTGGATATTTTTTAAGTGGGTAGTATCTTTAAGACTCTCCATTTCGATGTGCTTTAGTCTCCCCCCTTGGTTTCTAGGCTTGCCTATTTTTCAGTATTTCCTTCTTTCAGCTCCTTAAATGTTATTGCCTATCCCTACTCATCATCTACTATCTCCTTAACGATCTTACTCATCTCTATGGCTGAAAAGGCTGTCTTGAGAGTGATACTAGTATCTCCCTAATGTATGGCTAGCCCTATCCTTTTTTACAGGTTTTCATGCAAGCTTAAGAGGCATAAATTTCTGATCACCTCCATCTAGCCACTAGTAGCCACTATTTATTGAGCTTTTAGTAAATGTTGAAACGCCCATTTCAATATTCTTCGTAAGGAAGTGGCAGTGTCACCAGATGAGATCACAGCCAGGTGATGAGGAGCCAGGACTTGTCTTGCCATCCACCATTACTTATCTTTTTACAAAGCATATCGACAAATTAATCTGCAAGCTATTGGAGAAAAGAGGCCTGCATTATAAAGAAGGCATGGCTCAAGAGATAGAGCAGGATCAGAATCCCTGAGGTGCCACGAAGATGTTAAAACACTGCCTTAGAGCTTATGTTACAGTTGGTGATTGAACAGGCAAGGCCAGTATGCGGATATCTCCTTGCTGATTTGCTTACTCCTGTACAGTTCCTCTCATCTGATGCTCTGATGCTATACTAAAGGCAGAGAACTTAGCATAACTTGAAGTCAGTGGATACAAACTCACTCATGCATTAAAAACTTTGAGGATTTGTCCCAAAATGCCTGTTGTCACAGTCCTCAAGGAATTTATCATCTGGCTGCAAAAGGACAGGAACATAATACATCTGTTGAATTTAAGAGCTGGGATATTACTAATCCCATTTGTCCTGTAGATACTGATGTAGTAAGTTTACACACACTTCCTTAAATTTAATACAGGGTCTAATTACTTGGTTTTACAAGTGAGGAAACCAAATTAATATTAAATTGGCTTGCCTGGGGTCAGGATTAGAGTCCGGACTAGATTTAGGGTTCTTAAGGTCACAGGCCAATGCTCATTATAATTTACCACACTTTTCCCTGAAGGGAAGTAGAAGGAAGTAGCAACAGCCATACAGAATGCAAAAATGTCTTATGCAAGACTTCAGTCATGGCCAGGGGAAATAACTGGTTTAAGTGCCTGAGGGCAGAACTTACCTGGAGTGGAATTTATTTTATGCCCCTTACTGAATTTGTAAGGATTACCTTACAGTTGGCTAATAATAAGTCTGTAAGTGTGCGATTCACAAAATTACGCACCATTCCATGGTTAGTGCCCTTCTGGTATTCTGTATTTTCTCTGACTGCAATTGAAGAGAACATAAACTATTATTAAGATAGGGGCTGTGGTCGTACATAAAATTCCCTTCTGTAAAAGTACTTGCAAATAAATGTGAAAGGGTGCTTGCCACCCCCCACCCAAATAATTACATGTAAATTGCATAGCTAATTAATACACAATTACTGCATATAAGATGGGTGGACGGCTTAATTCGTAAACACTTCTTCAAGTAGTATGATATTAGGCTCAGTTTTGAAGAGTGTGGACAAATTCTGTCAATTCACATTGGGAGGGAAGAAAAAGGAAGAAAAATCACGAGTGAGGGGGCTCTGGTAATGCGTATTTAGGCACATTCCGAAATTTCTCAATCCCTAGAAGCGACCGCAGATACGTCGAGGTGAGGAGGTGGTCTCGGAAATAGTAGCATTTTTGTAACGTGGGTAGACTGTCCGCAAAAGAGGCAAAGACAAACTGGGTGCAGGATTTCACAAATGTGTGAGCCGGGTGTCAGCCACCCAACAGTAAGATGGGGTCGCAGACGCCAAGCAACACTGTAAGGCAACTGTAGCATATATATTATCCTCCCTGGAGGATATTTTTCCCATTGCTTTTCCGAGGGAGAGGAACATCGGTGTGTCCTCGGCTGCCTCCCCCACGCACGCCGACAGGGGCCGGCCTGCAACCGGATAACCTGCCTTTGACCAGAGTCCAACCCCGGACGCTCCACTCCGCAGGCCCACGCTCTAACCACGGAGAAAACCGGCTGGGGCCAGCTCTATACCATATTAAGAAGCACTAAATGAAATAGCGCAAACCGAGGAGCCCAATAGTGTGTATTTGGGGTTCCAACAAAGACCTGAAGAGGGGTGAGGGACGAGCCTCGCGGCCGCCCGGGACACACCGCAGGCGGCTGGACCAGCGAGTGTCGCATTGCAGCATTCACAGGACAAGGCCCACGGGAAGCCTGGGAAGGGGGGCGAGATCCCTGGGGTGAAAATCGCTTTCCTCGCTAATCGCTGCTAGTAGAGGACCCATACGCGCCGACTTGGTGCACCGAGGTCCCCCGGCCTCTACCCCGACTCGAGAGTGCGCCGACTACACTGCGTCTGCGCGTCACTAGTGCTTTGGGGCCAGTGGGCGGAGCTCTCGTTGCTCCGCCCATGACCTGCGCGCTGGCGGAGAGGTTAAGGGTCAGAGGTTCCGTCTGGAGCCGTCATGGCGGCGCTGTGTCGGACTCGTGCTTGGCCAGCCGAGAGTCCTTTCCTGCGCGTGTTCCTCTTCCCTCGGCCCTGTCGAGGGGCGGGCACTGAAAGTGGCTCCGGGAGCGAGAGTTCCGGGTCCACGGAACCTAGACCGCGCACAGGCGGCTTCGCGAGCGCTCTGGAGCGACACTCGGAGCTGCAGCGGAAGGCGGAGCTCGGGCGGAAGCCGGTGAGTCCGGGG